TCCACCATGGTTCAAGAACGTCTAACAAATTTAGCAATACTTTCAATCGAACACGAAATTGCATCTAAAATGGACTACACTAACTACAGTAATTGAAGAATTTGCTTCCAAAAAAGCCAGAAAAGTTAAATTTTAATAATTATGTTTTTTTTTTATGTAAAATGTAAATGTAAGAGACAAAAGATATGCTCTTAGTATTTAAAGGAATAAGATATTATTTGAAAATTAATAAAATATGATTACATTGTATTAATTATTTTATGGTGGGGGGGCGCAAAATTTTCATTTTGCCAGAAGCGCCACTATTGATCGGCCCGGCCCTGNAATTTTTAAAATAATTATGAACAAAAAATACTAGTATTATTGTGATAAAAGCGTCGGGCGCTCAATATACGAAAAATATGGCACAAAGCACCCACGCTTTTATCACAATAATACTAGTATTTTTTGTTCATAATTATTTTAAAAATTATTTTTAACTTTTTAGTTCGATGTACTTTAAAAGCGTGTTTTTTTAGTTTTTTAAACTATATTTTTAACACGCTTATATTAGTTTCACGTGAATGTTGTTTATTGTTTGTCGTTTGTTTGTAAGTTTGTAACTCCACGCGACACGTGTTATTATGTCGCGTATTCTGTCGTGTATGACCTTGAGACTATACTATCGTAACGCATTCGCCCCACCCCGCTCGCCTCTCGTAGACAACAATATTTTCCAACCCGTAGACGCGCGCGTGTCATCAATTATATATATATAACAAATTTTTATTGTAATTGACACAGCCCCGCGTCGTTTTACGCCGTGGTGCAAAGTCCAACAAGTGCCGCACGGCCGACGACGTCCCCCCGTTAATGATACCGTAGTCTTCTTCTCGTTGTCAAAGTGACGTCAACAAACCGATCCGCACTCGCGCACTGTTGTCATCTACACTAGTGATGGGCATAATCGAATGATTTCGATAATCGAATGATTAGTAATCGAAACATTTTTAACACGCTTATATTAGTTTCACATGTATGTTTGTATTTTGTTTGTATGTTGTAAGTTTGTAACTCCACGCGGCACGTGTTATTATGTCGCGTATGCCGTCGTCTATGACCTTGAGACTAGACCGTCGTAACGCATTCACCCCACCCCGCTCACCAGTCGGCGCCTACACTATTTTTTTTCTGTATAATTTTGAGTATTTGACTGACCAACACCGCGCATTATACGCCACGGTGCAAAGTCCAGCAAGTGCCGCACGGCCGACGACGTACCGCCGCTAATGATACCGTAGTATTCTTCCTGTTGTCAAAGTGGCAACGTCAATAAACCGATCTCCACTCGCACACCGTCGCCATCAACGCTGCTAACCTTTTGACGCCCGAGGATCACGCCGGACATCGCGTCGTCAACGCCAACGAAAGAGCCACGATATTATGCGAAGATTATATATTCTTACCATTGCCGCTAATATTAATATATATATACATATATATATTATTATTTATATATACATATATGTTAATATTCATTTATATATCCCTACAGCCGACGCCGCTGCCGCCATATATGCCTCGCGCCCCGCCCGCCAACAAAACACAGCTATACCTCGTGCATGATACGTTTACGTACTTAAGTCGCTTTACATGTATATATATATATAT